AAACAATACATAACATTTAAGGTGAGGATGTGAACCAGATATGAAGAGAATAGACAGACAGACAAATAAACATTACAAACATAGAAATGAAGATAGAAGGAGTGGTCAGATAGCAGAGATAGACACCACACAGACAAACTAAACATACAAACATTAAGGTGAAAAGAGACCGATGGACGAAATAGAGAGAATAAAGACTAGACACGAACAAGTTAAACATACAAAACATTATAATGATGAAGGAAAGAAATAAAGGACAAAGATAGAAGAGATAGACATCACAGAACAATAGACATACAAACACATTAAGAAGAAGTGAAGGAATGTGGCAGAATAGAGGAGCATAGACTAGACAGCATAATTAAACTACAAATCATTAAAGAACGTATGACAGGAGGTGGACAGTATAGAGAGATAGACACACAGGACAACATAATACATACACATACAGTAGTAAGGCTGATAAGGAGGGGTAACAGAGTAGGGAGGATAGCGACACAACAAGTAAACATACAACAGTTAAGTGAAGGAGTGATACGTATTAAGAGAGATAGACAGACAGACATATCATAACATACAAACATGAAGAAGTATGATCAGGATTGGTCATGTTAGCAGAGAATTAGACACACAGGACAAATAAACACTACAAAACATTACGGTGATGGAGTGGACAGATATGAGAGATAGACACACAGATACAAATAATACATTACAAACATTTAAGAAGGTGAAGGATTGTCGAACAGACTAGAAGATAAGGATAACACACAGAGCAAATAAAACATTACCAAACATTAAGGTGATAGGAGTAACAGATATGAAGATAGGATCAGACAGATCGAAATAAACATACAAACATAAGAACGATGAAGGGATGTGGTCAGATAGAGAGATAGACATCACCACGGACAATAGAAATACAAAACATTAAGAAGATGACAGGAGTGAACAGATAGAGAGTATAGACGAACAGGACAAAATTAACATACAAACATTAAGAAGCTGTGAAGGAGTGGACAGATTAGATGAGATAGACACACAGTACTAATTAACACATACAAGCATTATTGAAGGACACGTGAACAGTTTAGAGAGATAGCATGACAGACAAATAAAACATACAATACTATGAAGGAAGATGAAGGACGTGTCAGATAGAGAGATTAGCACACAGCAAATAGAATACAAACATGAGAAGGTGAAGGAGTGGACAGACTAGAGAGTATAGACACACAGACAAATTAAACATCACAAAATTATAGGTGAAGGCAGTGGACAGACTAGAGGATAGACACAAGGACAAGATATAAACTATTTACAAACATTAAGGGGAAGGATCGTGAAACAGGATAGAGAGATGACTACACAGACAAATAAACCATACAAACATTAAGGTGAACGTGGATCGTGAACGAGATAGCAGAGATTAGACACACAGGACAATGACATACAAACATTTAGGTGAAGGTGTGAACAGATAGCAGAGCATAGAACACACAGACAAATAGATCATGACAAAGCCATCTAAGGTGTAAGGATGTGAACAGATAGAAGAGATAGACACAGCAGCACAATATAAACATACCAACAATTAAGCGTTGAATGGATGTGAAAGAGTAGAGAGAAGTACAAACAGACAAATAAACATACAACCATTAAGAAGTTGAAGGAACGCTGAACGATAGTAGATGTATTAGATCACACAGTACAAATAAACATACATAAACATTAAGAAGATGTCAAGGGAGGGACCGAAGATAGAAGAGATGACACACAGACAAATAAACATACCAAACATTAAGAAGCCGTGAAGGCACGTTGAACAGATTATGCAGATGATTTAGACACCACGGATCAAATATACATACGAAACACATTAAGAGGAAGGTACCGGTGCAACAGATTAGATAGATAGACACACAGCAAATAGTACTATCAAGCATAAGGTGAGGCAGTGGACAGATAGAAGCAGATATGACACAGCAGTACAAAGTATAAATACAAAACATATCAAGGCTTGAAGCGAGTGACATGATGGCCAGAGAATAGACAGCATCAGAACTAAATTAAACATACAAACAATGAAGAGTGTGAAGGAGTGGGGCGAACGCAGATAGAGAGATCAGACACAACAGACAAATAAACATACATAACTATTAAGGTGAAGGAGTGGAAGATAGAGAAGTATAGACCAAGATAAAGTATAACATACACAGAAACATGAAGAGGTGTAAAGGATGTGAAGCAGATAGAGAGATAGACAGTCACAGACAAATTAAACATACAGAACATTAACAGGTGTAAGGATGGGAACACGCATAGAGATGATAGACGTGGGACAGACAAATAAACATATCAAACATAAAGAAGGTGAAGGAGCTGAAAGCATAGAGAGAGTAGACAGACAGACAATATAACACTTACAACTATTAAGGTTGGAGGACCGTGACAGATAGAGCATTGATAGACAGAGCAGTACAAATAAATTTTATTACAAACATTAGGTGTAAGGACTCGTGAACGCATGATGAGCAGGATAGACCAGACAGATCCAAATATAAACATACAAACATTAAGGAAGGTGATAGGACGCTGAACAGACTAGAGAGCTGAGACAGGACAGCACAAATAAACATACAAACATTAAGTAAGGTGAAGGAGTATACAGCATAGCAGAGATTAGACACACAGTACAACATAAACATACAAATCATTAAGGTGAATGGAGCGTGAACAATTAGAGAGATTAGACAGACAGACAAAGAAATGCATACAAACATTAGAATGTGAAGAGTGACACAGATTAGAGAGATAGACAGTACAGAAAATAAACATACAAACATTAAGAAGGTGAGGAGTGTAACAGATAGATGAAGATATGACACATCAGATCAAATAATACATACAAACATTAAGAAGATGAAGGATGTGGTGTACAGGATACGGCTAGAGATAGACACGAGACACAATAAACACTAAACATTGTAAGAAGATGAAGGGTGAACAGATAGATGACAAATAAACATACAAACATTAACGGTTTGAAGCGAGTGAACAGGTATACGAGAGATTAGACAGACAGACAAATCATATAATCATCACAAACATGAATGAAAGATGAAGGAGTGGACAGATAGAGAGATAGACTACACAGACAAATAAACAGTACATAACCATTAAGGTGTCAATGGAGTGGAACAGATAGAGAGTATAGACACCATTCAGACCAAATACGAACATACAAACATTAAGGGTGATAATGGAGTCGGACAGATACGCATGAGACAGACACTAGACAAATAAACATTACAAACCATTAAGAAGATGAAGGATGTGTAACAGATTAGAGAGATAGACAGCACAGACAAATAAACATACAAATCATTAGAAGTATGACAGTGAGTGAATCAGTAGAAGTAGATAGGACAACACAGACAAATTATATACATACACCATTAAGTGTGAGAGTCGAACAGGATAGACGAGATAGACCACACAGACAAATAACATACAACTATTAAGGCTGAAGGTGTGAAACAGGATAGAGTTAGATGACAGACAGACAAATCAGACTACAAAGCATTAACTGGTGAGCAAGTCGATACACTATGAGAGATAGTAACTACAGACAATTAGACATATCCAAACTATGAGGTGAAGGATATGAACAGATAGAGAGATAGGGGGGAACCAACAACAGGGGGGATCAAATCATAACAATAACAAACATTAGAATGCGTGAAAGGAGATGAAACAGATAGAGAGATAGTCAAACAGGGAAATAAAACATAAAACATTGTAAAGTAGGTGAAGAGACTGGGGATGCCCTGTGACAGATTAGTGAGAGCATACGCAGCACAGACCACAATAGATCATACAATACATTAAGGCTGAAGCGAGTGACAGATAGATTTGATGATTAGACACCAGATCAATATTAAACATACAATACATTAAGGTGCAAGGGTGATACAGATAGAGAGATAGACGCACAGTACACAATAGACTACAATACATTAAAGAAGGTGAAGGCAGTGTACAGATCAGTGAGAGTAGATGAGCACACAGACAAAATAAACTACAACATTAAGCATGAAGGAGGGAACAGTATAGAGAATAGAGCACACAGACAAAGATAAACATAACAAACATCTAGTGAAGGACGTGGACTAGATAGAGTAGACAGCAGCACACGGACAAATAACATACATAACATTAAGGGTGAGTGAAACAGATAGGTAGAGCATAGCACATCACGACAATATCTTAGACATACAAACATTAGAGGTGAAGGTAAGTGCGACAGATAAGAGGAGATAGTTACAGACAGTCCGATGAACGATATGCGATAATACAATAAAGAAAGGATTGGAGTTATAAAATGCACACAGAGAGACAGACAGACAGACAGACAGACAGATGGAGAGGGGTCGGTGGCTACCTTAGATCGACAGCGATCACTTCCTCATAGTAACCATCCTGTGCGAATATCTCCTCTCCCTCGATGACCGCGCAGTCGTTCGCTATCAGTCGTATAGTAGGCGGCGCGGCCCGGGAGCCTGCACTGCCGTTTGCCATGCCAGGCCATCAAGTAGCACAGCGATCGAATGGAAGAATGATGTCTAGTTATGCTTAACACCAGACACTTGCATCAGCTATGGGAGAGGAGGGTTAGGAAGCTCTCTCTTTCCTTCGCTCTCTCTCTTTCTCTTTTTTTTTCCTTCTCTTTCTAGTATGCATGATGTGAAGGTATGGATATAAGAGGAGAGGAGTCAGGAGTGGATAATAGAGATCTATTAATACTTACTAATAGTAATACTTATAAGATTTACTAATAGTAGATTTATTATATACTCCTGGTATAGTATTAGTAATATAGTGGAGGCGTGACTGGGAAATCATTCATCATTGCTGCTGCAAGGGAGAGGAATTCTTCATTCGTTCCAGCGTTTGCTAGAGTGGCATCGTAGGTTCGAGGGCATGCGAATGGATTTGAGCGAAAATTCAAACGTGTTTGTCTTCAATTCAGTTTGTCGGTAATTGCATAGCTGGTATCTCATCGAATATGCTCTCAAGTATTTCTTATGAACCTTTAACACAGGAACGCACAGGTTTTACTAATGCAGCATCAGTTTTAGACCAGCTGTGTGATACTCTCAGTCTGTGTGCGATGTGTGATTCTCTAAGGACCCTTTCATGTGTTTTGCAGGTCGTAGGTGGCGCCAGTAGCAGAGTGTTGGGTGGCGTTCTGACAGTATCATCAAAGGCTATCCAAACCCGCCCAGAGAGACAGTCGTACGTGCAAACATTGAATTATAGTCACATATACATACGTATATGCTAACATTACAAATTTGTTTGACAATAGACAAGTTTTATGTCAGTTTCTATTGGGTTTTGACAAGATCTCATTGCTGTATACTTTCATAACTTTCTCATTTATAAATAGTATATCAATTACAAAGTCATAAGTTCACTGCAGTATTGGAAGTTGGTGGTTTACTCCTCACTTACGTGACTGTAAAACCAAATGTCCATCAACCGGTCAGTCAAACCTGTGTTAACGACAGATAAATCTATAGTCTATACAATTGATAAATTGTCTATAAGGTCACATTTCCAATGAGTGACCTTTGAGTGACCCGTATTATATACGGTTTTAACTGTGATACAGTGCCTTCCGAACAAATGCTACGACAGAGAAATATTATCCGATATAATTTATAATTTAATATTACTATTATAATTAATTAATTATTCGGTAAAATATTATTCTTCGTACTCCAGTTTCAGTGAGCAGAGTGAGTTGATGCACCCTGGATATCATCACTGGCTGGGTGTTCCTACTCCCACAGCCACCATCACACATCAGCCAGATACCCCAACCCAGGTGGCAGCACAGGTATCACCACAGAGGGCGCCACAGGGCCAGGCGGCGATGAAGCAGGGAGGTCGAAGGGTCAGCATGCTGTCTACGCTGAACGAACGGGAGCAGGTGATTAATACTTAATTACAGATAATCGTTAACGCATGACAGGTGAACTTCAAGTAGACAACAGGTAATTCGTAAATAATAACAGGTAGCTATTAAATAATAACGGGTGAATAAATATTCATTTACGACGTGTGATTGTTCATTATTAATGCCGTGCTATTGGCAGGAGAGCAATAGCGGTCGTTCGTCTGCCACGCGTCCTCCCCATATACGATGACGTATCTTTAAGAGGAGACTGCACTGCCCCCTGGTGGAGCGCACGCTCTAACCGCCGCGTCGCGTCGTTGCAGGCTCAGGATGAGAACACGATGCCGCAGATCAGGAACGAGAGAACGCCCCCTGGCGGCGGCGGCGGCGTGGGGTCCGCGGCGGCGGCGTCGCTGTCACCGCATAACTTCACTCTCCCGCCGATCGAACGCAACGGTGATGTCAGCGCGAGTGACAAACCTCATCGGGTACGCCCGCGCGCCGTCGTCGAAACCGCGACAAGCGAACATCCGATTCGTGAACCCCCGACCACTTTGTGGCGACCACGTTTTACCGCGTCTTTTTATCACATTTCTTTATCACATTTTTATACCACACATGGTCATCGTATGCGGTGAGCAATGCGTCCAGGGCCGTACGCAGCAGGGGGGCAGCAGGGGCAGTTGCCCCCCTTAAAGATTTTCAGAGTATGCCTTTTAAT